TTTGTCTTAAGAGTGCACCATGCTCTCTAATGCTTAAGTCGAGCAAAATTCAGAATCAAAAAAATACTCCACCAGCTTCTGTAAATGAACAGCTTTCATGGATTTACTCTAGCTCAAGGTAAAGTTAGTTGAGAAAATAAGCAGTTAGGCTAATGATTTTTCCTATTTGAATCTAAAATAGAAAATAATTAATATGTGCTTATTCGTATTTGGTACTCATCTGCATACAGTAACACTGGATCTCCAAGTGAAGCTGCTCCACTTCAGACTTGATTTGACTGAAATTTATTTAGCTGTATCATTCTAGCCCAAGAATCCCCTGTCCCTGACACTCAGTGCACAAGAGACAGCAGAGAACTAAGCACCATTCCAAAACCTCATTCCACCAGACAGTCACAAGCTATTTCAGAGAATTCTGTTATTACAGACAGAAGCAGTATACACCATGACTTTTTTTTTGTTTTCCTTTGTAAATTCCACTAGGTGATTTACACAGTGGTAAGAGCTGAGGACTGATTCAATAATAATACAAAAAATGCATCTAAGGCTATTCCTCCACCTCGAGCTTGGCTCTGCACAACGTAGAAACATCATTCCTATCCTGAGACAGGATGTTAGAACACACAGCATCCTTGTATGTCTTGAGACAGGAAGCATCCTATTTCAAGGCAGGGCAGTAGGCATGCAAATCAGCTGTACAATTTGTCCTTTTCACTTTCAGGATCTTTCATTAGCTTTCTAAACGCAAAGAACTGATAGCTGGAGCATTTTCCTCTCCATTCACACAGCCACAGATGTTTTCACACAGCCTTACCAAAAGGAGGTACTTTCCCCAGCAGCTTCTATTTGTTTACTTAAAGGAGTGAAGGAATGGGAAAGGTATGCAGCAGCAATTCTACTGTTACTCTCTAGAACTTATATAACTAGCATAACCATTATAGTAAAAACACTTGACTAAAATGAGAATGTTAAAGTAAGTACATAGCAATGCCTGAGCTGTCTTGAGCAGGTCATTATTAACTGCTGATAAGCTCTCTAAGGAGATTTTAAGCCAAATGCTCTTCCAGAGCAGAGCATTAATGGGAAGTAGTCATGCTAACAGTACTGGACTGGATCCACATCAGAGTGATACTGAGGGAAAATAAAGAAAAATAGCATGGGAGAGGAAGGAAACAACCCCTGTGGAAGAATACCAGAGTCCATGGTGTAATACAGCAAGAAGAGATCCTATAGCGGCTACAAACAAGTTATGAGAAAAAGACTGAGCTTGTGATACGGCCATGTTAAGAATGATACATTCACAACAATCAGACAGGACCCATGAAGTCACATGTTGGAATCAGAAGAGAGGCAAGTCTTAATCTCTCACTGTAGGTACCTAATCTTCTCAAAATTCTCAGGGACTTCCTATTTACGGCAACATGCAGATCTTCTGATAAATGAACCATTAGTGATGACAAGGCTATAAATTATCTCATTAGTTCATATTCTATTACAGTTCCCTAATGCCACTTTCCAATGGTGCATGGACAACATTCACTTTGAAAGTGACTACCAAAGCCAGCTTTTGCAAATTCAGCCCCTGAACAGAAGATATTATCACCACCTCCTGAGTCAGACACAGATTCTCTTTCACACAGCAGCAAAAAGCATTTTCAAGCACTTCAGTTAGAGAACATGTAAAGGCATCTGCCTAGGGATATTTATGCTTCTTGGGAGAGCTCCTCCCAAAATTATTTTGGCAATTATTTCTGTTGGCATGCTTGAGCAACTACCTGAACTCTCAAACTAGAAATCAAGCTCAGGAAGAGCAATCCTTGAGCACAACAGCAGACGCAGCTGAAAGAAGATAGGTTCACAAGCCTCAGTCTGATGGACACTATCATGAGACCATGCAATAAGCAGCACCCGGAAGAAACTGTGGAAATGAAATCTGAACAGTAATTATCAGCATTTTACCACCGGTACTAGGTACCACATTCTCTAAGTAATGCAGATAACAGGCACTGCCAGCTAAAAAAATCCCAGCTCTAATTCTGGTCGAAATTGAAGTGTAGATAGACACATTTATAAGCTTAGAGAGGAGGATGCTTCTACTGGTACCCACTTCTGTCCTCTGAGGTTACATAAAACACACGTCAGGAAGGGTAACCCTCAGGACATGTGAGGTCTCCTGGCAGAGCTGTAAGAAAGCTGAAACAAAGTTGAAAAACCAACACATTATCAGATCAGAAAAAGATAAAGTGAAGCTATCAAAAAAAGTCATTAAAAAAATTCAATTCCTTTTTCTAACCAGTAAGAAATAAACTGACCTCTGTCATCATGAAAAAAATGTCCTCCTGTATCCACAGACATGCAATATGCTGCTGCCAAAGCTTTCCACACACAAAACCTGCTTGAAGTTTTTACATCTGTGAGTAGTTTCACTTACCATACAGAATACAGCATTCAGGAAATGCTACAGTGACATAGTCTTCCTGTAAGCTAAAACAGCATATTCTCCTCAAATATTTTTGGTAGCTTCCCTTGCCCTTCTTCATCTTCCATTTCAACGTTAAGCTGATGCATGATAGGGCTCAGAAGCATTCCAGTTTTTAAAGTTCCATCAGCATAACATATAACCTTCACAAAGGATAAAGCAGTAGGAAGGAAAAGGGTAATTATTCACCCAAAAGAAGGAGTGAAACAGTGCTGGCAGAGAATTCTGCAGTGAGAGCAACCAGCTTCAAAGGGATTTCTGTTTGGAAAAGGCAGAAAAAAGTAATCAGGGCTCAAAAGAGGGGAAGGAGGACAGACAGTAGAATGTTTTCCTCTACCAGACTCTACACCACAAGACCAATGTTACATTGTTGGAATTTCAACTGCAAGATACTGACAATGGAAAACTGAACATATCCAGTCGATCTCCCACATTCACTTCAGTTTTTGAAATCAAAGCATGACATAAAAAGAGATGTGCTTTCCTATTCTATTCTTTACCAGGATTAAACTCAACTTGTGATACAAAGACATGAGACGCTGTGCTAATACCGGCAGTGACTGCATCACCAAAACAGCAGTCACAGAAGCTTTTACAGGTACCACACACATCATCTTCCTGCTGGAGTTACAGAACAAGCAGATGCAGCTGCAAGAGTCTGGTCTTTCTTCTCCACTTCTCTCCTGTTCTCCTAGTTCCAAAAACAGCCAGTAGATGACCTCTGAACTGCAACTCCAAGAAACAGAACTGTGTCCTTTCCTATACTGAAGTTGAGGCTTTTAACTTGGCCAAAAATAAAATGGTGTCAGCTATTATCTTTGCACTATAAGAGAAGCTAGTTACTTCATCAGAAAAATGTTACTTTTTTGGCATGCCTTCTGAGTTCCACCTGATACCTCACTGCTGTACTAGGACACTTCCAGTTGTTTAATTTCCCAAGCAGAATACAAGAAAGCAAAACGAACGTTAGCTTCAATTCCCAATTTCCTGTAATTCTGGTCTACTACTGCAAGAACGTAAAACTCTTTACACACAGCAGTTCTGTCCTCCTGCATAGCACGCTGCGTGTTCTCCAAAATACTTTAATTCCTGTTGCAAATAGAGAAGCCTATTTTAACACTACAACTACGTAGCTTTTAGCTTTCCACACATGCAGGCACCGAGACACGCTCTGTCCAACAGCCACACCGCGCGGCCGGCTGCGGGCCACCTCCGGCTCCAAACCAACGTTCAGTGACAACGGCGGCCCCAGCGAACTCGGCGTTCCCCCCAGCCCACCTGTTAACGCCGCTGAGGCTCACCCTCCAGCTCTCCTCTTTCGGTACCAGCGCCTCGGCCGCGAGCTCGGCTCGCGACGAGCCCGCGCCCCCCTCAGCCGCCCCCAGCCCCGCCGCCGCCGGAGGCAGCACCGCCCCTCCCTGCCCGCTCCGCGCTCGGCAGCGCCGCCCAGAGGCGGCACCGCGCGTCCTGCCCCGCGGGCCCACCCGCCCCGCCGCGGCCGCCGCCGAGGAGCGCAGCCGCGCTTCTCCGCTACCCCCGGCGTAGCGGCTCGAGGGCAGGAAGTGGGCGTCCATCCCCCTTCGCTTCCCCGTCCCCTCCGCCTTCTCCCCTCGCGGTGTGAAGGGCACTCGTTCGCCCTCGCCCCGCCGCGGCCCGAAGGCGCCGCGCTCACCTTGGGGAAGGTGCCCTCCCGGCGGGGGCTTTTGGGGTGGTCGAAGTGTCCCCGGTCCAGCATCAGATAGAGGGAGAAGATCACCACGCAGAACACCGCGCTGCCCAAAACCGTGAATTGCCGGCTCAGCTTCATCGCGCCGCGCTCCCGCCGCCCCGCACGGTGCAGCCGCGGGAAAGTTCTGCCCCCGCGCCGGGGGGCGGCGGCACCGCGGCAACGGCGCTCCTCCGGCGGGGCAGCCCCGAGCGCTCTCCGGAGAAGTGCGAGAAGTCGCCCCCCGCGCCAGACACAGAGCACCGCCCGGAGCCCCGCGCCGCGGCCGGAGGCGAGCCGGCAGTTTCCGGCAGCGGATCAGGTTCGGGCTGCACCCGGCAGGGAAGTGGCGGCGGCACGCCGCGGGCCGAGCGAGCGCCGCTGCTCCCCGCTTCCTTTCCTCCTTCTCCTCCGGCCGCTCCGCTCCTCCTCGCCACCGGCAAGCGGCGCCGGAGTCTAGAGCCTCCTCCCCCGCCCCGCGGCCGGAGTGCTGCTGCCGCCGCCGAAGCACCGCGGGCCGCCGCCGCGCACACGCTCCGCGCCGAAAGGAACCCCTGCCCGCCAGCACCCGGCCCCGCCACCGCCGGAGCGCCGCGCTCCGCCCCCGTGCGGGTGGGCGGTGCCGGGAGCAGGTCACGGGAGAGGCACCGCCCCCACTCCCCGCCCCGCGGATCGGTTGGGTTGGAACGGACCGCGCCGCCCCGGGGCTCAGGGGGCGAGCGCCGGCCTCGGGGGTGGAGCTGCTGTTCCTCCGCCGCGCGGGCACTGGCCCCGCGCTGTCCGCGCCCCACCCGCAGAGGGCAGCGGTGCGGAAGACCGGAGCAGGGGGCCGTCCCCGGGGCGCTGCCTGGAGAGGACCGGGGAAGAGAGTTTTTCGTCCTAAGCCGTTGTCGACGGCAGCTCGGTGCTCGGCAGAGACTTGTCAGAACGAGGGCTGCGCGCTGTACTGACGCTGTTCCTCCCGTTTAGTGTTACGCAGACGAATGGGATCGCCCCAAGTTCCAGATTGAGTCGATTTTTTCCACATTCGAACAAGCTTCAGCGGATGCACCTCGTGGCTCAGCGGTGGGGGCCCCAGCGCTGAGGGTGCCTGTCCTCCGCCGCGGCCATGTTTAGTTCCTAATTTTGACTGATATGATTCTGTGAGATTTGAAGGCTTCCGTGCCCAGCGCCTCTGTCGGAATAACGCTTTGGGGAACTAGTTGGGACACGCTGCCTGTTAATGAGAACCACGCCAGTGCTGAAAGCTCTAGCAGTGCATGTGTGTGCTCTTGCCATGCAGCTCTGGTATCCCCATGATCTGAAGTCTGAAAGCCACTGGCGTTTCTTTTTTTATTATTTTTCCACAAAAATCCCACTAAAGATTTTAAAACTGTAGAAGATCTGACCAATAACATTAAGTCTTCTGAAGGATCCAAGAAAGTCAAATCTTCATCAAGTTTTTCCGTATCGAGAACATGTTGCAGTGTCTCACAGACCCTGCAGACCCAGATCAGCTCTCCAAAGCTGTGCAACAGTGCTGGGTGGTTCTGGATGCGCAGACCCCGCAGTTCTCCTGCAGCACAGGTGGGGGTGCAATGCGCCATGGGGTGAGTGGGGGCAGGGAGTTGTTCGCCGCTTTGCGCACAGACCGCCTTTCAGTTCAGAAGGACCGTTTTGTGTAATGCCAGGGAAGACAAAAAAGGCTGAAGGGTGGAGCTGTGCAGTGGAGATAGGACAGGGGATGGACAAAAGGGTGGGGGCTATGCAGAAATGGCAAGGAGCGCTGACTAGGAACAGCTGCAAGTTTCGAGATGAGGCAGATCAGGGTGAAAGACAGCGGGGGGGGGCACAGCAGTCTAACAGAGGGACAGTGCTGGTGAGTCTCTTGCAGAGTCTGGAATAAAACACGGGAGTTTTGAAACGCTTAGCATTTTGCTAAGCAAAGGACTGTATGTAACACATGGCTCTTACCTGCTCACATTTGCTCTATTCCCCCTCTAGTGGCAGACGCACACAGAACATAAATAGAAGGGCTTCTTTCTCCATTTGTCAGTTTGTTAGTGGGGGTCAGCGTCATGGTTTTATGATTTTTGATTATTGGTATTCTACATCATAACATCACATAGTGCACTGGAAGTTAAAGAGTTAATGCTCCAGTTCTGGGTACCTGTCCCAGAAGAGCAGAAGAACTGCATACCCCAGAGGACTTCGTGTTCAGAGAAGAGAGGAAATCCCTGGCAAAGTCACAGGACTGGGCTCTCCTCCCTTCTGCCCATCCCAACCACATGTCTTGCCTCGGCATTAGAGTAAGGCCTTCAGCTTTCAGACACTCTCTCTCGTATTTGATTTATTACCTTCAATTCTAATTGTATTGTGTTGTATTGTATTATAGTGTGCTATCTTGCATTCTGATATCTTGTTTAGTAAATCAGTTTGTTTCTCCTCAGATCGTTGCCGCTGCTTTGTTTTAGGCCCATCTCTCTATCCTTTTCCCCTTATCCCTTTCTGGGGTGCAGATCCACAGGTCCCTCTGCCCCACTAGTCACGGAACCATGCCAAATCAGCCCATAAACCATTGACTGTCAGACATCAGGGAGGGAGGGAGGGAGGGAGGGAGGAAGAAAAAAGGAAAATATGAAAATATTACATGGGTTTAACTTTGTAACTCCTTTCAACTTCATGTTAACTCAGAGCCATAGAATATCCTGAGCTGGAATTGACCAACATGGATCAAGTCCAAGTCTTACAATCAGGGAGACAAAACTGTCACAGTCATCCCAGTGGTTGATCTTTCAGAGCCACATAAACAAACATAAATTGGTCGGGCACATCCACAGGTTTAGCTGCCCAACTGTGACTAGGGAAGAAGACTTTGGTGCTGCCTACTCTGCTTTCTTTTTTTACTCCAGGCTTTCATGAAACTTTTGGTATAATAGAAAGTAAGGTTGTCCTTCAAAGAAATATAGACCTAGTCAAAGCAATTCACAGAGGAAAATGCCTGGCACAAATAAGTTATGAGAGTTGGGTATAGGTGAAAACCACTGTTGTGAAAAAGGCGTTGTATAGTTCACAGTAAGCTTTTAATTTTTTTCAACGGATGGTAGCAGCTCAAAACATGCCTGAAAGGGGCTCTTCTGGAGTGCCTTTGATACCCAGTAAGAAGGCAGTGCACTGAAATCAGCAGCTGAGGAATCTCTGTACAGTATCATTTTCATGGGAAAAAAAAAATAGCCTTATTCTTAGAACTACAATAAATTCCCCAATATTCTGAATTTTCAATGCCAGGTTCTACTTCACATGCACCCCTGGACCCATTAAGTCCTGCAAACATTCTTCACCTCTTTTGCAGACTTGGACAAATTATTCTTCAGCTATTGCATGTCTCCTATGAATTGCAAGGGAAATGGCCCAAGAAGCAGCTTCCCTACTTCAGACATCTACATCCATGCTGAAGAGACAAGGAGGCAGACAGTGAAAACCAAGAAGAAAAGGTTTGTGGCACTCAGGGGATGTGGGATCAGAGGAAGGCTGATGCTTCATCCTGGAAGTCTCACTGTAAGTAGCCTACAGTAAAAACCACAGTGCAAAGGTAATCAATAGTTCTCGTTTCCTCCAGGTTAAACATAACTGGTTAGATAAAATCACTGTCTGCTGACAAGCTTGGATGAACTGATTTGATTCTTAGTGACCTCTGACAAGGTTCAGCTTTGTTTTACTGTAGTATCAGAAATCAGCGACAAACATTAATCATTAACAAACCTTGCATTAAGAAACCTCATCATACTTTCATAGCATTTCTATAAGTATTTCTGCTTACTACTTTTACTTCCGTATTCATGCCCAGATGAATCACTATACATGCCACAACATATTTAGCTTCAGACCAATATAGATGTGTGAGTACCAACCAGCTGGTAGCTTCTGTACTTGTAATGATCACAGAATTTCAGGTAAAAAAAGTATACTCCATTCTAGGAGAGAAACTATAATTATTGCTGGTAACAGTATTGTAAAAAAAAAACACAACATCAACAACAACAAAAGTCTGTGAAAGCATTTACTGACAGAAATTTGTTTCCACACCAAGTTGATGACTTTCAAATCACGAAATTTAGAATAGCCTGTCTATTTTAAAATACTTCAGTAAGTATATCACTGTGTTTTAAAATCATAATAATTGAACTGGGCAGAAAGAAATCAAGAAATTTTGTATTTGAGAACTTCAATTGGTCTCAGGAATTTCTTAAGGAACTTAGACATTTGGCTACCTTGGCAGGTTCCCTTTCCCCCCTTTGCCACTATTTCAGTTCCCCCCCCCCTCCCCATTCCCCATCTTCTCTTTCTTCCTTTTTCCCTTCTCTTCCCTTTATTTATTTGCTTGTTTACGTGTTTGTTTTTTTATTTAAACCAGTAAACTTTCACATTCCTGTCAAGCTAATTTATTTTCATTATGTGTTCCCTCAGTGTCAGATCGATCACTTTTATTTAAATCCAAATGAAAAATCTACCAGAAAACAGTTCTGCAGTGCCTCATTGCCTGGTATTAGTATCATGTAGAAGTACTTGCCAGTCTTTGCGTTTATTGAATATGTAAAGCTCCAGACTGCAAAAAATCAATCAGCATTCCAATCAGTCAAGTTATTCTTCTCAAAAATATTAGTAACTGATGAGGCAAAATAAGGCATTGCTTTCAATTACATCAATTTTCTTTTCTTGCTTTTAAATACTGCATTAGATGATATGATTAAAACAAGGACCAAAGTCATGTAAATTTTAAACAAGTGTATGTGTATTTAAACTCCTGACTTTAGAATTAGACTGCACTGGCCTAGTATAGATCTTGATACACTGCATAGCTGAGGGGATCCCTGGGGAATTAGTGAAGCCTCATCTAACTTGAGCTGAAGTATAGCTGAAAACGTATGAGTAGGGAAGTTGCTTAAACTTGTGGTGGTTTCTGTAGTTCTAATACACAAACAAGAATATAGAGCAAAGGTGGGCAGTTCCATTTTGTTTGTCCTTTAAACTTTTGTAATGCAAATTTCTGCTTTTGTTTTTTTCTTCAAGATCTATTTGCAGAGAATGCATATCTTTGAGGAAATGTAATGTAATTTGTTGGCATCCTCTTGGTAACACATCTAAAGTGAATTGATGTAGAAATTTGATTCTTGCTAAGAACTTTTACATTTTACATATTGTACTTGCCTCCAACTAATTATAGACTGTATGATTTTAAATATATGTTTGCAGTTTCTGTCTTTATTTAACATTTTCTTATTTGGAGAGTAAAAAATAAAACTGAAGTAAACTGAAAACAAATAGGACTAAACAAGGCTAAATGTAAGAGTTTTGACTCTTTCAAATCTGTGTGAGGTTTTTTATTAGTCTGCCTTGACACCTGCTAATAATGGTGCACACCATTCTCACAGGTCAGATTAGAACTGTTTGTTCCCTCTCACCACATGCTGTTTGTTACTCTCTTCCAGATTTCTATGGAACATATAATTCATCTTTCCTAATGGATGACCAATTTGACCACTAGCTGTAACAAAGCCCTTTTCTTCTGGAGAACTGAATCCACTACTTAAGCCCTACTGTAGTGAGTTGAATCAGAATAGCTGGATTTTCAGGGGCCTAGCAATAAAGTTGCTTGAATGAGGGTGCCTGATGAAATCAATAAGTTACCTTTACAGAGGAATGCGAGTGTGGATGAATGCGGGTGGACCCACATGAAACTTACTGAAGTTCTTCCACAGTAGAAATCACACAAGGACTGGTCAACACAAAAACGTAAATAACAGTAAAACTGTTCAACAAGCTTTTTCATCAAAGAGGAATTGAGTCATTAAACATTTATTTTATTTTATTTTACAAAATGAAGCAGTGGTTTCATTCTTTGCTGATTACAGTTTGATATCTGCTTTTTCTTTATTCACTCAGGCTTTTGTTTAATTATATGGATATTCTCTTAAAAATACAGTAGAATAAAAACACAAGAAAAAAATGAAGAATGTATCTGCTGCGGCTATATATAATAGCTATATTTCCTTTTTTTTTTTTCTCAAAATAAGTACTGACTCCATATTGAACATAATATAAATTTGAAGCACAGAAGTAGTGAAGTCTGTTATTAACAAAACAGCATTGGTTTTAAAGGTAAAACATAGGCTAAGCTAAGGAAAGATTATACAAACATTGTAGGACAAAATTTGTCATGGGCTTTTCCATGTAACTCAAATCTCAAGAAAAATAGTTATGAAGGGCATTTTATAATAGTAAGTTTACACCTCCAAAGCAGATGGAGGGAGCCTTCTGTATCTCCAGATACACTAAATATAATAAACATCATCTCTAAGAAACGTAATAGGAAGTTAATGTTTAATGAGAGATAAAGAATACAGCATCATTCTGATTATTCTCAGAATTACCCAAAATTGGGAAACCATTCTGGCAACTGCAAATCTTTAAGTATTAGCATAGCTTAAAGAGAATAAGGCAACAATTAATGGATGGAGATAATTTTCTGCATTAGCAACATCAAAGCAAAAAGCAGTGTCTACAATTTAAGAAGTCATATAGAAACATCAGTTAAATTTTTTAATTAAGCAATATCTAATGAATATTCAAAACAAAACAGTGACAAAAATGTTCTTCAGAGCATAAATGTCACACTTGTAAAAAGGCCAGTTTTAAGTGAGATTAGTGTTTTACTTTAGAAAATGTCTTTTATCATTGTAAGTCTACTGAAATAAATTAGTATAAACCAAGCTAAGCTAATGTTTTGCTGTTATACATTTGTTAAAAAATATGATCTGTACTATTTTACTTAGCCTACGATGTAGAAAAAAATCAGCCAAACATCATAGTCCTCTATATTCACATAAAGACTAAATGCATTAGAGTCATGCATCATCCCTAAATGAGGATTTTCAGGAGCTTGGCTTCTTTTTGGGATTGTGAAGAGTGTTTTTTAGATATGTTTTTGAACTTTTACCTGCAGGAAAACCTAATTATTATGGAACCTTAATAATGTTTTAATACATTAATTTTAAACTATATGCTGTAGGAGAAAAGCCGAGCACATCCTCACCTGTCTTGTTATTGTTTCTGCAGTAAAAGCCTAAGTAGCCAGTTTGGCCAAGGAGTACATCTGTGACTGAATATTTGGTGGGCTTTGGAACATGTGTGTGTGAGTTTATGGATATGTCTTATTTCATGGTCCACATTAGTAGAAAATCATTCAACTTCTACAGAAGATCTAGGCCCTTATCTGAAGAGATAACTCATTGTAACTTCAAATACAAACATCAGTAAGGATATGTCAGATGCTTCTATTGTTGTGTGCACAAACTAATTAAATCATGACATATATTAAAAATTTTATTTTTCTTGGAGCATTGTCATCAATATGGAACAAAATATATGTATTTAATGTTTACTGTTGTTTACTGTCTATGAAAACAAATATTCACTATTGTAGAAATATAGTATGATATCTTCTTGATGATATTCTGGTTCTTATTTTTTCCTTTGATCTCTTTTCAAGTCAGTTGAAATCCACGTCAGGAAAGGAATCTTACAAATTAATGTCACCTTTGAGAAGTACATTTTTCTCTTGTTATGCCATTTGATTATAAAACAATATTTAGGCAAGTTTACGGTTCTGAAAAATTGCTGTTAGTCTGTAAGGCTGTGTACAAAGCAACAAAAATCAATCAATCAATCAATCAATTAATTTAAGAGTAGAAGTTGGGCAGCCCAATCCTTGAGAGTCCATAAAGTTTTAAAAGGAGAAGATAAACAAAAATGGGCAAAATGTAAAAATTAACTGATATAATCTACCTGGGCTTGTGTAAAACTTTTTACACTGTCTTACGTGATATCCTTGTCTCTAAATTTGAGAGACATGGATTTGATGTAGGGAACATGTCACAGATAAGGAACTGGAGGGATGGTTCCACTCGAAGAACTTTGGTCAACAACTCAGTGTTGAGGTGGAGCCAGTGGCATTCCTCGAGGATTGACACATGAATATTTAACATTTGTTGGTGACATGATGGTAGGACTGAATATACCCTCAGCAGGTTTTCCAGAACCATCAAGCTACATGATGCAGTCAGCATGCTGGAAGGAAGGAATGGCATCTAGACAGACCTTGACTGGACAAGAGGTATTGTGATATGAACTTTATGAGGTTCAACAATGCCAAGTTCAAGGCTCTCCATCTGTGTTAGTGTAATCCTAAATATGAATGCAGGCTGGATGGAGAATGGATTGAGAGCAATTCAGAGGAGATGGACTTGAAGGTGTTGTTTGATGAGAAACTCAGCATGAGCCATCAATCTTGCTTACAGACTGGAAACCTAAATGTATCCTGGGCTACATCCAAAGAGGGATTTCCAGCAGGTTGTGGAAGATAACTGACCATTTCTTTTCTCTTGTGAGGCCCCACCTGAAGTACTGCATTCAAGTCAGGAATCTCTAGCGTAAAGACATGGACCTGCTCAGTTTGGTCCAGGAAGGCCAGGAGATTGATTGGAAACTGAGGTAGCTGTGTTCATTCAGCCTGGAGAAGCTCCAGGGAGACCTCTTTGCTGCATACCTATTGCAGTGTCTAAAAGGGACTTTCGGGAAAGCTGGGGAGAGACTTCTTGGCAGGGAGAGAACAGGAGGCAACAGTTTTAAACTAAGAGGGTAGATTTAGGTTAAATGGTAGGAAGAAACTATTTACTACGAGCATGGTAACAGCAGGTTTCAACACACTCAATGAAGCAGCAAGCAGACACAATAGTTTGTGCAGAAGTGTCAGATTTCTGCTAAGAACTTCTGAAGATATCACTGGAAGTTGGAAGTTGTGAAATCTTTCTGGGGAATCCTGAGGAACTGGAGGATGGTCACTACAAACTGGAAAGGAGACCTAGGCAAGAACAACTACAGAAGAACTTAGTTTCTCCTGAGAGGAGATCTAGCTAGATACAGCTGCTGCTAACAGTCCTTGATTACGGTGGGTCAAGCACCCAGTGAGTCAGTCTTAGGCAGAGGAGTATATAAGAGCCAGGCCCAGAGTGTAGTGAACAGGCAGTGATCACAGCAGTCAGATGCAGTAGTTGGCACAGTGGGGGAATACAGGGTGTGTGAAGGTGCTAGAAGGAATCTTGCTCTATTAATTTCCAGCAGCATACACTCATCAGATGCACCATAGAACGCTTTCCCCTGTAACTTCTGAAGTTGCTGCGTTGACCTTGTCAGGCTTGTACTCAAAGAGAAACACTTTTGATTCAGGTGTAGGTGTCTCAGGCTGTATCAGGAGTTCTTGGGGCTTCTCTATGAAGTCTGGCCTGTCAGTCATCTATATATGGAAAGTATGCTATTCTAGATAAAGGATGACATAGGATCAGGGAGTTGCAGGAGTAAATAATTCAACCATGTATTTTTCGAGAAGATGAGTTGGAAACATTGTACTCAAGGGGACTCACCTTCAGGAGATCCAATTCCTCACACCAGTGAAGTTACAGCAAAGTTTGTGTCATGTGAAATATTGACAAATTCTGAAATGTGATCACTTCATGTAAGAGGAATAAGGGGAGAAAGGCTTCTCCTCCTCCTATAGACTTGCAGTGGAGAAATGGGTTTAGTGCTGTCCAATCTGAGGAGGAAGTCAGTGTGGCTTCAGGAGAGGCAGCTGTGCTGTTTGACCCAGTGCCTTGTGAGAACATCCAAAAGAAGTGAAGAATAGTTGTGGTAATGACTTGCTGTTGCACGGAACAGGTGGACCTATCAGAACTAGTTGTCGGGAGAGATTCATTGCCTGCCAGGCGCTTGAACATGTGGCATCTTCAGAAGTTTCCCAAAGCTTGTTTGCACATCAAACTGTTACCTTCTGCTCTTCTTCTATGTGGACACCAATGATACCAAGGGCAAATTGGGAAAAAAATTGGTAAGAAATTGGACTAGATGATCCCAAATGGTCTTTTCCAACCTTAACTATTCTGTGTTTCTTGTCTCCTTCAACCCAAGCCATACTCTGATTCTACCTTAAGAATATAGATTTTGATAGTTACATTTCTTCAGACTAAACTGATCCTTTTTGCCATCCTGGATGTGCCTCAAAAATTAAAACAGCTCCCTTTTATGCTGCTCATCTCATAGATGCCCTGAAAATTAATTTCAACTGAACAAACCTGGCACTATTCGCTAGTGAAGAGGATGAACACTGTCACCACTAGTTCTAGCACAGTCTCCAAACAAGAATGCTTTACACAGTGACTGGCTTGTTGCTCTAGGCTGTTTGATGTTGAAAGAAGTATGGCAGTCACTACATCCGGTTGAAATTTCAATAGGAAGTTTTGCTTTAAATGTACATGTGCATTTTCACATGCGACATATTGCACTTAAGACAACAATAATGTAGGGGAAAAAAAAAAAGCATTAACGAGATGAAAATACTGCTACACACTGAAAAACACAAATAATATGCATTGTCTTGTAGAATAATTGCCTACTACCACTCCTTCATACTTTTCGTATACCAACATATTTTCATGCTTAGAGTGATTATAAAGAAAAGAGAGAGAGAATGAATGAATTAACAAATGAGCAAACTTGGAGTTTATTGAGTGTTGTAACATGTTGTAACTTGATAATATGACAGTATACATGACCTACATCTTACAGAAACACAGTAGTAGGTTGCATTATTCCACTGTTTCATGTCACAATTCAGAATGAAAAGAAATTACAGTAAGATTCGTATTACTCCTGTTAGAACAGCCCCACAATTTCTATGGGAGATAGGTAAATAAAGAATTTTGCAACACAGTGCCCAGTATTAGAGTACTTCAGAGTTTCAGTTTGAAAGAAAAAAAGGAAAAAAAAAAAAAAAATCTATGTGGAGAATGAAAATATGTTCTGTTGGCAGCAGGACAAATGAGACTTAATTTTGTCTGCTTTTTCTTTCATACTATGCAATAAAGGTACTGTTTTCCACAGTGGTGGCATTTATTGGTCTATCTTTCCTATGGGGAACAGGAGATAAGCTCTATGGAACTTCAGAGGAACCTTAATTGGATGCCTGTCTTCTACCTGATTGTCCAGTTTTATTAATTTTGTAGGACTATAATTTCTTTTTTTAATCTTTGTTTCCTTGCTGTACTTAATCCATGTTTGCCAGTTTTTCTGAACATTATACAAGTGTGAGGGCAAGTAACCTTGTAATTACAGAATTTTATTTTTCCTCGACAAGCTGGCTAGCAATGGAAAAGTAGTGACATCTTTGAGAAAATATCACTCTGCTATGTAAAGATTTAATAAGTGTAGTGTCCTTCACCCCCGCAGCACAAGATTGAAAATAATAACTAATAAAATTGTTCACTATCAGACACTTCAGCTGTCCTCAACTCCAATAGTCGTCAGTCAGTTAATTATCAAATACCATTAAATAGAAATCACTAAGTAGTTATGATAACATCCTGACACTGTATCTCAGCTTTTCTGCTGGTGGTGTTGCATTTCTCCATGCAGTGATTAATTAGCTCCTTAGCTTTTTTCATCTCTTTCTTTCTGCTGTGAGCAAAAATGTGTGAATGATGGGGAGGAAATTATCTCTCAATCTCCTCTCTGCTGGAGGCAACAGGGAGAGGATTGAATTCTATAGCTTTTTTCTTCACAGCATGCTAACTGCATCACAAGTATTCACATGCTTGTCAACATGACCATGTCTGCTCCATGACCACATCGCCAATAACAGCAAGACTCTATTGGCACTCGCCATGGTGATGACAAGTGATGCAGGTGTCTCATCTGCATACAAAAGTTCACACGATCATTATATTCTTGCATTTGCAAGTCTTGTATTTAATTTGCATGTTTATGCCTGTCTTTAAGAAGGAAACATTTCAAGTCAGTAATTTCATTGAAGTTACTCTGGTTGAGATTATGAATCTTTGTTTCCATAACTATTAGGAAAATAACTATTAAGAAAACAAGTGATGTAACTTTTAAGAAATTTGTGTATATTTTGTGTTTCAAAACTTTTTATATTTTTATGCTAGAAGCAGATAGCATGGATTGCAATCTTCTTAAAGAACAGAGAAAATGGGGGTGAGGGAGCTTGTCATTTACAGTGGAAAAATGACTGAATAGAAGCATATGATCATGCCTACGTAGATAATGTACAAGGTTTCTAAACCAAACAAACAGTGCCTGTACAACAGGTGGAACTGCCTGGGATGTTTGAGTGTAGGCTCAGATCTTTTCCATGAAGAAAAGTCTATTAAGATTTTTTGTTACATTACATGGTTAATTAGTCAAAATATGGCCATATGAAACAAATAGCAGTGTTGTTGATGACTGTGCTTGGTATACTGACACATGAAACTTCGGGTGTTTATGCCTGCTGTGGTTTCAGGAA